TTTTGTCTTTTTGCTGGAGGGAGGAAAGGCCTTTTGTTTTTCTTCCTCACCCCACATTTATATTTCATATCAGCCTTCCCTTGCAATATGAAATATTGATTATTACTAACAAGATTAAACAGTTAGGAATGTTGTCCTTAGTGTGCGCGATAGGCCATAGAGGCGTGTTTAGCAATGTGCACAACAATCCTTTCTCTTTCTCTGGGCTTTCCTTCACATTCAGTTAACTAATGGGACCAATATGTTACGTTTAAGAAACAGAAAACACTCAATCTTTATGGCTCTAAACGTTCTCTCTACCAATATTCCCACCTGTGGTTTATTATTAAAGTTTGTACCAAATCGAATAATACAAGTCAGACGTCCTATCCTTAAGGCATTGTCTCATCTAATTTTTATTCTTTCTTTATTATTTGTAATGTGGAGCTGTCACCATGTTAAATGTTAAATGTCCTATTGATCTGTTAATCTGTCACTGTGTGTGTCTCCATAGGGCTCACACTTGCTTTAATCGTCTGGACCTCCCACCTTACCCCTCCTTCTCCATGCTGTACGAGAAGCTGGTTACCGCTGTAGAGGAAACGAGCACGTTCGGGTTGGAGTAGCCTCATATCAGCTCACACCCAGGTTTAACTTGGGCAAGCGAAGCATCTGGAAATCCACCTTTCCCACCATAGGACAGACATGGAAAATAAAACTAATATCCTCAAAAGGCAACTAACCCCCCCCCCCGTGGATAACTGCTGTTTTTACCGACTGGCTTTTTGTCACTCAGCACGCAGGCTTCGCTCCGATTCTCTGCCTTTCTCTCATGTATCTAGTGGAAGCGGGTCGAGCGATCACCTTCTGGAAGAAAGGCGGGGAATCGGAGGATGGTTCGAAAAACTGTATCGTACAATTTCTTGTTTTCATGGTTTGTTCACTGAGCCACATGTGTGCTTTATCTCTTCAGTTAATGGCCTTGTTTAATGGATTTTTAGCACCTCCCTTAATCCTCTTCCACCACCTCCTCCTCCTCCTCCTCCTCCTCCTCCTCCTTTCCTCTTCCTCCAACCTGCACCTCAGAGACAGCTGCTCAAAAACCACTAAGCTCCCTTCTCCCTCTCTGGACCTCTAAACTGTGTCCTTTTCTGCACTGGGGGTGCAACATTATGAACTATAGTACACACACACACACACACACACACACACACACACACACACACATTTCACCTTTGCACAAAACACACACAAACATTTTGTTTAGTGCAAACCAGTGTGTCCCCCAAGATTTTTTTTTATCAGCATGGAAAGATGTGACATTTTAGACTTACAGCTGGATGTTGGCTGGTCCTCCTTGCCTGTCTGAGAGCAGGGGATACACTAGTGTACACACTCAAACAGATAAACGTACACACAAATTACATAAAACCAGTTGTTTTAGGACTGAAAGTACACTTGTTTTCACAGTTTTGATTCCTGAATAATCTGGACATTGAGTCACAAATCATCAGTGACATTCACAGACAGTGTCATAGACCCATTGTGATAATGACGGCAGGTGCTGGTCAGGACTGTTACCCTCAATACTGCGACATCGGAGCTCTTACACGGGCACAAAAAGGTAAAGACACATCTGAGACACGCAGCCCTTGCATATACTCAACATGGACACCCAGTATTACACACACAAACACATATTACAGCATTAGCCTCGATGCTGTGGGTGCACTTCCTTCTGATGCACTCACTCCTGACTACAGACGCAGTTACTGACACACTTCAGTGAAACAGAAGTGCAGGGTTCCTGTCTTTCAAACAAACATTTATCCCGAGCAATACATGCATTTTCAGATGACGTCCGCTCATGAGTATGACACAGAACGTCCTCCTCACCGATGATATCGCCTCCCACCCTTTGAAAGTGATGAATGTACCAAATAAGTGACTGAATGTACGAACCTCAAGCAACTCTGTTCGGCCCCCTGAGGAAGATTTCCAGCAGGCTGAAGAGGAAAACACGGAAGTTGGAAGTGGAGGGAAAGGAAATCAAACGTGACACGGTTGCTTGAGGAATGGGGACGCGCTTCACTCGATGTGGGCACCGGTTTAGGCCTTGTTAGCTGACAGACACGAGCCTGGTGTCGCCCAGGTGCCTGGTCAGGCTGCAGTGGTGGGATCTTTTTAGTGCCTCTTGGGTTTTTCCTGACCATAAAGTGAAATTTTATAAGGGAAGCTGTTTTATTTCCTTGTAAAAAAAGACAAATTGACCAGATCCACGTGTCTCACAAATCAAAGATGGTGAAAGTTAAGGGGCTGAGGTTAGATACAGATATCAACACAAGGGGGCAGTAAGGTGTGCTGTCATTACTATATGGCAAGTTCAAAAGCAAAGAACCAGTGATTTTCCCCTACCTGAATGACCTGACCTGGTGAGATTATGATGTTGTCAGGAACAAGCACCGGCCTTTAGGGCTGTATGGATATTGTATTTTAGAACTTTTGGCATACACGTCCATGCCAGACAACAGTTTTGTCTTGAAAGCATGTGATAAAACATTTCTCTTAACTCTGTAAGTGCACGACCCAAACCCTGAGGACCCTTTCACTAAGTCTCTCACACACTTTCTTACATGCACACACGCACACACACACACACACATACACATATACACACACAAACATACTCGTTTTCTATGGGGTGCATGCAAGATTACACCTACTGTACAGAGTCCTGTTGGAGCTAGACCACAGGGGCTGGAATAGTGCTAGAGAGCCCCACATGTGATGCAAGATGTGGAGGCAGACTTTCGTATCTCAGCCCCTCTCCCCCCCACCCTCCCAGTTCCAATACTGCATGCGGGATCTTCCCGGTCAGCTCTGTGAGCTGTGCTGGGGCAGAAACCCCTAGATGGCGTTGTGTTATAGCTCGATATTGCATGCTGAAATAGTGCAACACACTGTCCTTACTAGCTTTCTTTGCATGAGGATATTGCTATCCATTCAGAAAAAAGGGGTGAGGGAGCTGGTTAAGTTGTGTCACTTTGGTTGTGGCGCTCACTTGAGGCATGCGGCATTATGCTTACCTGGCACTGTCATACCTTGAGTGTTAAGCTCATGGGAACAGGGTGTAGGAAATAGGTGCTTTAGTCACTTAGTTTTAGCTCTGGGAATGGACAACGTGTGAATGCAATAGTTTGTTTTCTCTATGACAGTGTAATGGCGAGTATCTCGGCAGCATGTTTCAAAAATGTTGTTACTTTCACATGTGCGTGTCTGCCTATCTTAGTAATAGGTCGAAGGTTATGGTTCATTGCTCATGAATCAGTGATGAATCAATAGGGCTGTTTTGATTTTGTGAAACGTGAGAGCACATGTTTGTGTATCATGTGTGCGGTCCTGTTTGTCTCTTTGTATATAAATGTATATGTATGTCTGTCCTGTTGTGTGTATAAATATATATTTTGCACCGAATGTACCAAAGGTTTGGGGCTTGCAAAGTCAACCATTAGGCCTGCTTTCTCTATTTCAGTCCAACAAACACATCCCACTTCTGGCTTCTGCCAAATTCCTACAGAGCATCACCTCATGTTTGCTTGAGGGGCAGATTTGTGGCATGGGCAACAACGCTTCACGTTAGGATATACATTCACATTTTCCATAACGAGGCTTTTCTGCTGCAGAAGACTGGTAAGATCTATTACTTGCTTCACATCCAAATGAATACAGTTGCACCTCTCGTCTTTCCTAGTACATCTTCTGACAGGACCCGGCTCCGGTTTTCAGAATTCCACTCTATGCAAAGCTCCTGTATGTGTGTCTCCATTTCACCCCAATGATTGTAATAAAAGAGAACAAATGACAAATTTTGATTAATGATACATGACCTTTATTTATCTTTTACAAGAGTTTTGAACCAGCTGAACTAGTCGATAACAACATGTATTATCTTTATAGTGGCCTACAATATAAAAATCAGTTCATCATGAAGTACCTCGCCTTGATTAAAGTCCTAACCTTCTGCAACCAAATAAATCAAACCCTTGAAGACAATGTGGAGAAAAATATACCTAAAAACTATCCCAGTACATACCTAATTGTAATTGCATGGTGCTATAAGAAGTTGCAGTCTTTCCGGGTTCTTTGCAGAGGTCAGCGCCCTCCAGATGCTTTGCCAGATGTTAATAAATGTACCTGTGCACAGTGGACAGATTTACGTGGAAGCTCATTCATGCCAGGAAAAGAAAAAACTATATGAATAAAAAATACTCACGGTAAGTTACAATTATAACAACGTATAAAGTTTAGGACTTTATATCTGTTTTGGTGCAGTAACTCATAATTTTGACTTTTAATAAGTCATAATTTGTAGATGTTGAGTCAAATATTGACTTACTTTGACATATTTATGACCTACCATGGGTATTTTTTATACTTGTCATTTCTTGAACCGTCATCCATTTCTTATTTGTTTAACTGTCTTACATTCAGTAACAGAGTAAACAATCACAGGTTAAACCAGTGGTTCCCAACCTTTTTCCTTAAGGGACCCCTGACTCAGAGACACTGAGTGATATTTCATATTATATTCAAAACCGTGCAATAAACCCAAACAATGAACTCAGTAACTGTAAGAAGATTGTGTAAAAAGAGTGATTTGGATGAATTTTAAGCAGATTATTTCCTGTTTAGGCGATTTGTTTATACAATTCTGTCCGTATATATATATTTAAACAATCATACAGACTTAATAGACTTATTTCTTGACAAATTTGGTGTATTTTCTTGACCCTGACCCTATTCTAACAATTTCCTTTCTCCACAGAAGTGAACCAAAAGCTGAGATATAGGCAAACTTTATTATTATTTTCACCCCTTCAGATCAAGAATGTATCTTTAGCGAGCTCTAGCGGACCACATTGGGAACCACTGGGTTAAATTAAACACAGAAACCACATCCAAGTTTCAAATTAACCCGACCTCCTTTTTTTTCTCCTCCTCCTCCTCAAACAGTGCGCATGCGTCAGACAGTGACGTGTCGAAGTGTCAAACAGAAAGGATGTAAAAAAAAAAAAAAAAAAAAAGATGATCTTAAACTCTCCAGATAAACTTACTAACATAGTTAATAGTCTCCCGCAGCGGGAGTTTGGATGAAGCGGACCCACCCGTAGGTACAGGCTTTACAGGCGGACTGCGGCCTCTCTTCAGTTGAGTCGAGGAAAAACGGTTTGAACCGACTTTCAAACCCGCGACATTGACCGTTGAGCTAACTTCAGTTAGCGACGGTCGACGCTAACCGGAGTCCGGTAAACTACCGTTAGCATGGGGGAGCTAACGGTAACATGTGACAGACAGTGAGGGCAGCTGCCGTTAAAACGTTTATCCAGCTCAACTTAGGTTAGTCTTGTCGCCCATCTTTTTTTTTTTTTTTTCGCCCCCCTCCTGTTTTTACCCCCCCTCCCCCCCTCCGGAGGGTAGCTGGCAGCGGGACACCGACCGCAGAGGAAGATGTCTCGGAGGCGGCTGGACAGTCGCAGCGGGCTCTCCGCGGGGCTGCTCGGGGAGATTCAGACCCCGATCAGCACGGAGCCGATGGAGGGTGTGTATGAAATCACCGGAGAGCTCGGGAGGTGAGGTCCTAACTGTTGTTTCCTCCGGGTTACTGTGCAGGGAAGAGTTCAGTTTAAGTGTTTGTATTTGAACACCGAGCTGCGTTGTTAAAAGGAAAAGTTTAGCTGGCGTTAAGGAGGACTGACAGTAAAGACAGTGCTGCATTATTAAGGATGGTCTTCTCTGATGGCTCCGAACCACAGTTTGGACCACACTTTACATTTGTATAATGCAAAGCTATTGACTGACAGTGCTCAGGAAAAACCTTATCAATGCAACCTGAGTGTGTGTGTGTGTGTGTGTCATACATTTCCATTTGTTATCACCTTCAAACTGGACTGTAGCTGATAACACTATAACTAATTCAATGCTGTGTATATGATAGTTGAGCCAGTGCCATGCAATGTATACATACTGTATGAGGGGCTGCACACTTACTCGACATGTTATTAAAATCTTAAGAGCTGTAATGTGTTGATAAAAGGTAAAAATGTGTGAGAATACAGAGTTATAATGAAGTATATTGAAGCCCTGGTAAAAAAAAAAAAAGTCACATCATCATGTTTTAATATGGTGACATGATGTTTTTACTATAATGTGCAGCTTTATGATGTATAACTACCACTTATCACTATTGGAGAGGCAACTGAGTTACGTAATCAGGATTCAATAAAGGTGACTGTAATCCATTACAAAGTTACTAAAAGAAAGGTGTTATCAGATTACAGTCACATTTACTAAAAGTAGGGATACATTAGCAGGATTACAGTTTTAAAGTTTCTTTAAAACACAATTTTAAAGCTAAAAATCTTTAATTTTCTTCTTTTTAAAGGTTACATTGTTCAGTCGTCTTGTAGAATACACTCTCACCAATATTTCTTATTAATATTTATTTTCTCTTGTCTTTATTTACATAATAATAATCCCCAAAGTAACAGAAAGTAATCAAGTTACATTACTTTAATATATATATAGACTTTTTAAAAGTAACCCTCCCGACCCTGCATATGGACAACAGAAACATATGAAGGAAGACTTGAGGAATGTCCTTTTTTTTTGGACTAAAGACTCAACATCGTCCTTTTATATAACCATTTATAATAATATATGTTCAGGTTGTTGTTTTCAGATAAAGTTATTGAGTTCAAGTTAACTGCGTTTGGACTCTGGACTGTAGGCTTTAACCGTCGTAAACACACAAACCTCGCGGTGCCGGAGGCCCTGACTTCGTCGTGCCACAGCAGACCTTTGTCATGTGTTTGGAAGTGTGTGTGTGTGTGTGTGTGTGTGTGTGTGTGTGTGTGTGAGAGCCATGGCAACAGCTGACGGCGGATGATCGTAAGATCTCCGAGGTGTGTTTGAAGCGATGTGTCATGCAGTGTGTGCTGTGTAATTCTCATGTTTAAAACAGGAAGAAGCACATGTGGAAACCAGACCTTTCAGAAAGAAGAAATGGTACCAGCCACTTCTGTTCACTTATTTGTGTGTGATTTTCTCAAAAACAGGAAGTTTTTGAGGTGGAGTATTTCACGAACTGCGTCTGTTTGTTTGTTTTTACCTTTTAAGGAATTTGTATTAATTCACAGTCTTAAATTAATAATCAGTGACCTTTAGCAGTGGAACATTTCCCTATTTCTTTATCAGGCTGTAACTATCAATTAATCTGTCATTAATTTTTATGGAATTGGTTGAACATTAATCTATTTTCTATATTAACATTGAATTAAATGACTGTGTGGTGTGACAAGGGTCACCTGTAAGTCCAGCAACTTGTTTTAGCTCTTTGTTTGGGCTTTACTACCCCTGCTTATCTAGTCTCCAATGATCTCTTCAACCCTTGTTTACAGCAAAATAAGCCCCTATGATACAACTGTGTGTTACCTAGCCCCGGCACAACACGTCAGACTGGTCAGCATAGCATCTAGAAAGCTCGAAATGTTGAGTGTAGAGCAAACCAGAGCTAGAAAAGGAGCTGTTTACAAACCATAAACGTTACCCATGACAACTTTGTAAGCGGATGGTATGTGGTGACTGTTCATTTTATACATGAAGATGAGTTTACTTGTCATTAGGAGTGTTACTCACGGTATAAAAACCACCTTGACGGTCTCCTCTGTGGCTCTGGAGGAGCTTTGTCACGAGAAAATCAGCCTGATGATCATCAGGGTTATGTGGGTTGTGAAGCTGAGGCGTGAAGTTTAAAAGGTGTGGGCATTTACTTAAAGAAAAAAACTACTGCATTATGGGAATTACGAGGTTCAGCTGTTTTTGGAGTTTGACTCATATTAATATTATTGTTTTTATCCGTTTTTCACAGATGCCACAACTTAACCACGATGCGGTGGTAAATTACTGGAGTTCTCCTTTAATTACTATATAATTAAAAGTCAAGAATAATTTAAAAAAAGGTGCCTTGAAGTTACGTCTTAAATTGCTCTTTTTCGTGTGATGAGGAGCCGGCTGATTATTTTACTGAGTTTCTAAAAGACTGCCAGGGTACTTAAAGGAAGACATGAATATTTAACATAAGTCTTCCTCAGTGTCATTCTGTGCTGTTCGCTTGTGCATTACAGACTGCGTGAAAGGAGGTGCTACGAGGGAGTTTAGTGCCATTGTTCTGCTCTTTAAGAGTCCTTCATGCTCTGTACTCTGTAACCTTCACCATCGTTGCTCTCGGGTTCTTGTAATGCCGTTATTTTTAGATTATTTGTGCTTTTGTAGCTGTCGTTGTAAGGCCTTGTGGAGAGGTGTTTCCACGAATGAATGCCAAAGGGTTTTTACTTTGTGTGGCCAATGTAAGTGTAGGTCTCAAGACTGTGATGTTTCTTGCTCAGATAAAGCCAGGGAGATAAATTTAAACCTTTTTCTAAAAACCACAGAGTCAGATGAGTAATATGTCACCGTATTAGCACTGCATATATTTGGTGATTGTTGCTTTTCAGATTCGTCAGCCGTCAGCCGTGATGAATTTTGACACTTTATTCTAGTTGCAGATAGTATCTTCGCAGTCATGAGTAATATGAACAATTACCCCATTGATCGAGACATGGCAGCAGCTATAACATAGCTATTTAGGAATGTCCTTGCATCAGATAACACACTGACACCTACCAGTATTTGTAAAGCACCATTTAGTCCCAATGCTACACTTATTTACCAATGCCGTATGTGATTAAGGCTTGGAAATATATGAAGTAATGTATTGTGTTTTATTTTGAAAGGATTGTGGAACACACTTTGTGGTCTAAGTTAATATTTTAAAGCAGTTAAATTTACTGACTATTAAAAAAAACATTTCTCTTTCTTCCTTTAACTTTCCATACACTCTACTACACATCTAGACATGAACATGCCTAAACTTTTATTTTGATACACATTGATATGGGACTTGCATATCACCGTAAGTGCATTATATTACAAATCAAAGCCCCGTAACTTAAACTAAGCAGGTTGGTATATCTTAGTATCAGGAATGATCAAGAATAGTTTCATTTAAAGATGTTTTTTACACTTTGTTAATGAATCTGATCTCTGTCTGACTAAAAACAGTGCACCTTAACCATAATGTCCACTTTCTGCTCCCTAGGGGGAAGTTTGCTGTGGTCAAGCGCTGTGTGGAGAAGGCCACGGGGAAAGTGTTTGCTGCCAAGTTCCTGCGGAAGAGGAGGCGAGGTCGCGACTGCCGGGCAGATGTCATTCACGAGATGGCCGTCCTGGAGATGGCCCGTAACAACGCCCGAATTGTCAACCTGCACGCCGCTTACGAGACGGATCACGACATCGTCTTAGTGCTGGAATAGTGAGTTCACAGCAGAAGCAGAAACGCAGTCTTTTACCTCTTCAATTTTAAATGATAGATTATATAACCTGTCGAGCTCAGGGTTTTTTTTTTTTCTCTACCACAAACAAGCAAAAACATGCACAAGCAGCAGTATGATCCTATAAATGCCTGCTAAAGGGCAAAGTCCTGTTTGTCCAATCTTGAGGAGTTGCCACACTTGCGGATTTTTTATGTAATCCACATTCTTCCAAACAGGTTTATTAGCAGTCCGTTCAAGACTAAAAAGTCCCATGTTAGCTATATTATTGTTCATCTTGAGCTGAGATCTAGATGACCTGAATGCATCGTCACGCCCTGACGTCTTGACCTTTCATGTTTAATCACGTTTTCCAAGATGAACTGTCCTTCCTCGTCTGACGTGTCATTCATCTTGTTTCTTTGTACCATCAAAACAGAAACTAGACGTGAGATTAGATCGTAAATAGGAATACACAGTGTTTTTCTTAAAGTCAATTGCTAGGACTTTCTAACCACACCTTTGATACTTGTTGTTAGAGGCGACTAAATCCCTCCCTGAGAGCAAAAACAGCTTGAACAACTCACTTTGTTGATCTAAGAAAGCCTAAACAACAACTCAAAAAGGCCCTAGAGAAACGTCAGATTATAAACTTGAATAACCTGAACTGTAATAAATCGTATTTGTACTTTGTACTCTGGGTGTAATTTTGGGGCTTTGAGTCAACCTTTGGCTGACGCTCTTACCTCCAGTGCTTTACAGTGAGTAAGCAGGAAGGTGGTTGCCTTCTTGCCGGCACATGCAGGATCAAACCAGTGACCCTCTGGCTATGGGTTGGCCACTACAACCACAGGGCCACCCAGCAATCCCATGAATACATCATATTTCTGTTTCTCTTGTTGAAACTGCATCACACACTACATTAAATTGGTATTTTATTGTCCTTACACATTTAAGTAGATGGTTGTTTTATTCACACAGTCTCTCCATGTATGTATTTGTGTATTTACAGTGTGTGCGTGTGTGTGTGTGTGTGTGTGTGTGTGTGTGTGTGTGTGTGTTTTCTCTTTGCCCAGTGCGGCGGGTGGAGAGATATTTGACCACTGTGTGTCTGAGGAGCTGCTGCACGAGGCCCAGATCACCCGTCTGATCCGGCAAACACTGGAGGGAGTCCACCACCTCCACCAGAGTAACCTGGTCCACTTAGACCTGAAGGTCTGTCCCCACACAGAACATCACATACATGAGTGTAGCTGGAGCCCAGAGAAGCTATTTTTACCCAGTTCACCACATCCCCCCCCTTAAGTGCTTGGCTGTGTATTCCCCCTTTTTTTTTTTAGAGCAGTTGTGCACTCAAAACCCCAATTTCCTATTTCCATGACCCAGTTAAGCACACAGCTAGGATTATGGGTGGTAACAGAACCCCTCACCCGGGGCAAAGTGGGGAAGCACAACAGCAAAGTGTAGAATGAGTGCAATATTGACACCAGGCTGTTAAATGAAAGTGCTGTTATCTGGTTGTAGGTGGATTCCAGTGTTTTAAGACATTTACAGTCATACCAGTGTAAACTGGGCTTGGGGATTTTAAAACAGTTTCAGCAGACAGCATACGCTAATCAGCATCGAAAACACAGTGCAAACAAAACACAACGGGGGACATTCTGTACTTTCTCTCAACTTCTCTTGTGGAGAATTATGTAATAATTGAATAATGGTGGTGTTTATACAGTGTCATATGGTCAATATATTTGAATCACTTGAACAAATAATCAAGTACTCACAGGAAGGTAAGCACCTCTCCCTTTGAGTGCAAAAACATTACTGAGTAAGCATTCAAAGAGACCTTGGGAACAAGTTATGTATGTATAACAAGTTTAAAGTACGCCTTATCTCTCCAGCACTTCTGCTTTCTGCCGCACATGATGTTCACCGTGTGTTTCCTCTTTGTTTCCTTCTCAGCCGCAGAACATTCTCCTGACCAGCCTGTCTCCTCCAGGAGACATAAAGATCGTAGACTTTGGCCTGGCACGCAGGCTGGGTGCGGTCGGAGAGCTCAGAGAGATACTTGGCACACCTGAATATGTGGGTAAGGTGATGCTTGTAATAAAACACTCTTTGATTACTCAAAGACATCAGACAGGATATCACCAGCTTAACCACATTAAAGTTAGGAAGAGTCAGAGGAGCTCCTCAAGAGGGAAACCGATTTTGTGTTATGCTAATAGAAATGCTTTTCTAGCTCTCACACAAGGTAAAGTATCAATAGCTTATGGTGATTGAGAAATCCTTGGCATTAGACAGTTATCATTAGCATGCATTTCTCGACACTTAATGGATAGAGGAGGTGTCTTTAAACACACACCTCGAGAAACCTCTTCCAGCTCTGGTGAGTTTAATGTGCTCATCTTTTAGATTCATGAAAAAGATTGGTAGACTCAGCTGTAACAAAGACACAGACACAACAGAAATACAAAACCTAAACATCACTAGTGGTGAAATAAAACAGCATGGGGTAGGAAATGATACAGCAAATTACAGAGGACATTCTTTTAATATTGAATCTCAGCTGACTTTTTCTTTCATGTCTTCATTCAGCGCCGGAGATCCTGAATTATGAGCCAATCACAACAGCGACTGACCTCTGGTGAGTCCATTGGCGTGTGTTCAGGAGTGTTTCAAATATTTGTCGAGGTTATTCGAAAGAGAACGTGTCTCAAAATGACCACAAAACTAACTGATGGAAGCAGAGAAGAGTGCTAGTTAACGGAGGGCAGTGTGACCCCGGAGAGCAGCTGCTCCGACACTCTCCGCTCTGCTAACGGTGGTACAACCTCCTCTACTGCCGTCCTCTGTGACTCTAGGGCTGACAGCACTGATAGCAGCCCGGCAGGACAATGTGTGGTGTGCTGGGATTTTATAATTAAACTATGAGCAGGACGCACTCTGTTACTTTCTCTGACTGTGTAGAAATCTGATGTTTTCACATCACAGGTGACAAAGAAAGGCATCAGAGACTCCATAGCTATGTTTCCACCACAACAACTGCTGATAGAGGAGTTTAGTGTGTCAGCTACTCTAAAAAGGTTGTTATCAAACCCTAATTTTAACTCTTGATCTAAAATGATTTGTAAAGGGTAAATTAAGGTGATCCATTCCGGTGTGAAGCCACAAACCACAAAGTAGCTCTGCAAAAGCTAATAGCTGTTTACAGTTTGGGTAATTACTTTAATGGTCACCTTTGTTCTCACTTTTGCGGCGTTCCAAATTATGAAAATAAAATGTATGGATTTTTTTTTTTAACAGAAATATTTACTAAATCAGTCACCCTGCGTGCCCTCTGGGATTCAGCCCACAGGCACTCCTCTACATGTCCTGACTCTGTGTGTGTGTGTGTGTGTGTGTTCCTCAGGAGTGTGGGTGTTATAGCCTACATGCTGGTGACGGGCGAGTCTCCGTTTGCCGGGGACGACAAGCAGGAGACGTACCTGAACGTGTCCCAGATCAGCGTGGACTACAGCAGGGAGGCCTTCTCCAGAGTGTCTGAGCTGGCTGTGGACTTCATCCGCAAGCTGCTGGTCAAAGCGCCAGAGTGAGTAAAAGCCTCACACTGTCCAGAAGAGAAACAGTCAGATGATTTATTGTGAATGAAGTCAAAAAGTGGAATGTTAGCACTGAGCTGTAAACAAAGAGGATGAGATGGTTTTCCACGAGGCAACCCAGCGGTCACGTAATGTTTTATTTTAGACCAGTTCTGCTTGTGTGTGAAGAATTCCCACAGACACTGCGCAGCCAAGAGCCAGTGAAGCACTTCTTTTTCCCACAAACATGTATTTTTATCCACGTGAACATGCTGGGAATATTGTTCGTAGGAAGTAGAACACCTCCACTCGTGATTTTGACTTTGTCATGTGGTGTTTTTCCCTCTTGATTAGTTAAGAGTTTAATTATAGATTGTAACCTTTTAAGAGTAAGAAACAAACTTAAATATAAATCTTTGTTTCTCTTCTTCCACTACTTTTTGATGAGATTTAGATTCACTTGGAGCTGAATTGATTCGTCGGCAGACAAACATTTGATGGTTCCCAGCTTCTTAAATATGCAGACTCGCTTCTTTTCCATGTTGTACATTATGGTACACAAAATGTAGTTTTGGACTCTTGGTCAGACAAAATAAGCAAGTTTATATATACAAAATTCACTTGCCATTGGATGTTACATTAGAGGATCAGCATGTCAGACTAAAACAATGGGACAGAAATAAAATAAAACTCATCAATACTATATAATTTGTTCCAACAATCACCAACTCTGGTTTGTTTCCATAGCCAGTCTGGGCAAAGTACAGCAGAGTAGAGAGACTGAAACTACTGTTTTTATCATCGATGTTGGTGAACTAAGAATTTATTTGAACCAAACCACAGAGAGGCAGCGATAGCAACACAGGCAGAGGGAGTGAGACGTACAAATAATGGTTGGCTGCGGCCCTTATTTCTGGCGTTGAGACTCTAAGAGTTCTCTGTTGTTCTCTGACCACAGGGACCGGCCCAGCGCTGCAGAGTGTATGAGCCACCCCTGGCTGTGGCAGCAGCAGTTCTGTCTGAGCCCGGACCCCGCCACCACCCGCACCGTCCGCGAAAGGAGCTGCGGCACCAAGTGGACCGCCCCGCCCGAAGACCCCGAAGACAAGGAGAACTTCCTGGACTCGCCCCACTCGCACGCAAAAAGGTTTCGCTTCGACGAGGAGCGTCCCGCTGCCGGAGACGGTGACTTTTGAAAAAGTCCCATTAAAAAAAAGGGGGAGGAATTGAAGTGTGAGGCAGGAGTGCCCGCTCCTTCCTCGGAGCTTTTAAATTCTTTTAAGCCTCCAGAAAAACCAGCTGTCTGCTGCCCACCACTCAAAAGTGCTTTGGTTGTGTTTATATTCCACTAATTAGCAAAATTCCACGATCGACCACTCAAACCAAAGATAACCAGCTAAATTTTGAAATCTTATCACTGATCCATCGCCTTTAAAAAAAAAAAGTGTGACAATTGTACAGTATGTCTCAATTAATGCAGTGTGTTTAACCTAAAGTATTTAATATGTATCAATGTTCAAATCTCTGGTGTTCTTAAAGCGCTGCATAAGCCCGCTCTGTGCTGAGAGTACTGATGAAGGCTAGTGTGGAGTATTTCTAGGGAAATCTATGCAACACTTCTCTCGTGCATTTTAATTCTATTTTCTACAGAAACCTTAAAGAAGTTAATCTCTCTCTGCCTTAAAGTCGGAAGTTAAGTGTTCTTAGTCACCAGCGCCTGGTTACTATTTCCCTGTACTTGTGCTTCAGCAGTAATGTGTGATGTAGAGATAAACACCTCTGCAATGAGGAAGTGTGATAATGTCCATATTTGCATGTTAAAGCGAGTTAGCTGAACAGCAGCATTATGGGAAACCAGGCTTTAGACTCTTTAGACTTTGGGTTCTGCGTTTCATGTCTGTTTTTAATTGAAAGTTGATGAAACACGCTGCTGTCTGCGTCAAAGCTCGAGCTCTTGCTACATGCAGGATCGCTGTATTTGATGCCCAAGCTGCACTTTGACTTTAAAAACAAGCAGCAGGAGGGCAGAATTACACACAAACATATTACATTCCTCATGTTTGCATTCACACTCAAAGTCTAACTTTTACTTTTCTCCATCTCTGCAATACATTTAGCTCAGGGTCTTTAGATGAAACTCCTTTTATGAACTCCAACCTCAGTATAGTCCCCTCCCAAAGAACCTAAAGGCGTCCCCATTTAGCGTCAGTGTTTGTATCCGGATTATTGTTAACGTTTTCTAGAAGCAACCGCTCTGACATTAAGTGAGCAACAAGATAGAAACTGTACCGGCTCGAGAGAAGGTGTGACTCACACGATTGCTCACACACACCACACCCGCACTTACTCAAAGGATTTCCTCACCGGGCTGCCAGTTCCTCTTTGTTGGAGAGAAACACGACTTTAGCACTTACTTCATAAAGCACACGTACCGAACCGATAAGCAAAACAGGAGCTATTTATTCTGTAGTTTGAGAGGTTTCGCTGTCTTTCAGTCCCTCACCAAAAGCCATCCAGTGTGCTCTCAGTAAAAGCTATTCCTCTTGGGTCAGGGTGCCTGAAGTGATATATTCCTGTTGTTTTCATCTCAGGGCATGCTGCTCACTCTCTGCTCACTTTGTTGTGTATTCTTAATGTTATTCTTATAGGCCTATTATTATTATTTATGTGCTGGACTTATACTTTATATTTTTTATGTAAATAATGTGCTCACGTGTCTTATAAGGAAGTGTTGCGATTATGCCGGGAGACAGGTGATTTTAGGATGCTTAAGGTGTTATTTAAAAGAAGATGCTGTTGTGGTTACTGTGTAATGAGTAATAAATGGAAATGTTTGACTGCAGCGGATTGGGAAGGTGGCAGCGAGGATTAGAGTCGAGGTGGTACTGGGAAGTAAAGCAAACGTGGAAATGGAGATGAGTCAGATGGTTTTAGGGGGGAGGAAGATGATTAAATGCTTTGATGGATTTGGAAACGTGACGGTCTGGGATGGAGCGTTTAAAGGAACAGGTTGATATTCTACAACTCCTTTAAAGTTCTGATGTTGAGTGTTCAGATATGTAGGTATGAAAGGGCTCTTTAGGTGCAGAGAAAGTGGGGATGATGATGATGATTTCAGTGTAGTTTTAGAAAGAGATAAGTTTGTCCCAAGACGCTGACAGAACCACTGTATAATGTGAAACACGAGGTGCTATCGATTTACGGGATTTGCCATCTTTTGTTCGAGTAAGACTCGAATGAAAACTCCTCACCTCTCCTAAAAGTGCAGATTCTGATTGCCCGTCACCTCCAGTGAAACATTCCTCTTTTGTTCCGAGGTGCCAAACCGAATAAGACCACATTGTGTTTATGTTTGTTGTTGTCACCGGCTGGTACAATGGCCTTTGTGTCGGGGAGCTGGGCGTCCCCAGCCACGGCCATGCTCTCATCTGTATGCTGTCATCCTTTAAAAACTGGAGCAACACACTGTAAAAAGGTTTTCATCTCAATGATTAATCTCAGAGAGTTGGCAGATTCTACTTGAGCTTGCTGTAAGAACTTTTCTCCAAACAGCTGGGAAGTATCTGTTTGATATGTAAGGAAATAAGCTTGAATCTTACTTCATCTCAAGTCAGTCTACTCTGCTTTTTTCTCAGTCCCTCCAGGATTTCACAGGCTTCATGGCAGCTTTTCTAAAACATTGTGATGCATGTTGTGATATTTTTTGCCATTTTGTTTCAATGAAACTGCAAAAGAAAGTGAAAATTTAAAAAAGGAGTTGCTATTTGTTTCTATAATTCATTTAAATTAAATCAAAGGCAACTCGTTCCAGTGAGAATAAAACCACCAGTAGTGAGCTGCTGTGACTGGAGAAACTCACAGGAAACTAGTGATTGGACTAAATTGCGTTAATTGTTGCGGTCTCGACATTGAAACTTCCTGGAGGGACTGTTTCCTAATACCTCTCCGGGTTGACCGCGTCTCGGAATAATCTTGATTCAGGCTGAAATGATGCAACTCGACGTTTCTCAAGCTCAGCTGTACCGACTCCTGTCGCAGCAGCATCTGTAAAAAAGATTGTAAAGACTCGACGAGTTGCTCAACCTTGAGAGAGAAGATGGACTTGTTTTGCGTTGATGTCAGAGATTTCACTTTGCAGGATGACGAAGCGGCTCGTGTTTGCTGGCATTGTCTGTCTGTCACTTGAACATGACTTATGCTGTGGTGTTGATTTTGTTATTTTGTACAGCTATTGTGCTGTTATTTTCAGCAGCTAGTCACCCGGTGGCCTCTCTCTCTCTCTCTCTCTCTCTCTCTCTCTCTCTCTCTGTACGCTCATTGTCTGAGCGGGAGGTGCTTAGCTGGCAGTTGAGGCCGTCGTCCTCAAGAAGTGGAGCACCAATAACGTCAGGCGACTGATGTCACCCAACATTCCTGTTTGTTGTGTGAGACTGTAGAGACGTTAGAGACAAAACCAGCCACAAGCACAAGCAAAGAAATGTGCAAGAAATGTATGTTTATTTTGCATTTTATATTTTTTTAATGTATGAGCATTCTGATTGCGTCTGAAATGACTAAAAAAAAAAAAAAAAGACATAATCCCCTTTGTATTCTGATCAACTGCAGGCTAATATGTAAAAGCATCACAAAGCAAACTGAAAAAGCTCATTAAAGGTTGTAGAAAATATCCAACACAGTATGTGATGTCTTCTTTTTGTTGTCTTTGAGTCACTTTACTTGTTCTACACTGCTGCCCCCTGCTGACTGACGAGAAACAAACTCCTCTTATTAAACTACTCAGAAATATTTCTGTGTTGCAGCCTCTCCCTCACTGTAACCGTTGACAGGACAACGTATACCAATTAGCAAGCAGATGATTTAAAATAATGTATGATAACTTGGCTGTGCACTTGCTAAACACCTTTTTTTTTTAAGTTAATCTTCTCCGTCGTCCTCACACACTCACAGCACAGCGTACAGCGAGTAGTAAACATAATGGAATGATCTGAAGTTACATTCAGCAAAACGAGTTACAGCCATCAGCGTAGTGCAAAGACGCTATGTAAGCTCACACAGAGGTCATACAGACTGGAATACATCATACAGATATTAATACACATGCTGCCACATTCCCATTAAACTAGTGTGTATGTTTTACATATTGCAGTTAACAAAAAGTACAGTAGATACAAAGCGGTTCTTAACTTCTAACCACAGAGTTAACAAGCGCCGCCTCATTTACACGTCTTTCTAAATTACTTCATTTAAACAGAACTCCTCATTCTGACATTATTACAGTCGGTTTAGTTTGAACATTTCATTTTTAAAAAGGTAATTTGGTATATTTTCAAAACAAATGTGAAAAAAGGAATTTAACACAATCAGTTAATGTTTTTTTTTAAAAAAGTGATAAGTAATAAGGAAGGTAATGACTTTAACAGTTAATTCTTACACTAAAATCTCACCTCAACATCCACATGAAGCAACTCCTCTACATCTACTGAAAATCATCCCGTGTTATGATCGAAAGCTTCACAACAACAGCTACTAAACTGACCTCGAGGTGAGACTGTGTTGTGACATTTAACTGAAAGAAACAGATCGGGAATATTTGGGTGGAAAATCCACAGTTGGGATCAAACTGAAGGAATGACAACAGAAACCATTTTTTTTTAACTTTCTGACCAAGTAATCAATAATTCATTGGCCACCTGTTTGAGTACAATCAATAATCACTACTGAGAGCCCAACTGACGCCGTCTGAAACTGTAAAGTTCAGACATTCAGACATTCACGTGTCTTAACAGGAGCAGGTAGTAAAAGTGCAGCTATAAGGAGAATGTAATAAGCCGTTCCTGCTTCAGCCAAACATACATTACGTTTAAAATCATGGCAGAAATTAAAATAAATCAAAGCTATACTTTATCTTTTACACCTATAAGGGACAGTTCACCCCCCTGTCTGCCTTCTCTCCAATATAATGGAACCAGATGGCACTGGGTTTGTGTTCTCAAAGCGCTAACTCTACTTTTTTAGTCAGAGATAATAAAACAATTGTGTTTACGCTGAAAAACCTGAAATTGACAAAGAATGGGGCCGATAAGTGGAATGGATAATGGTTTTGGTATCAGGTTGACGGCGGATATCTCCAAAGCTCTGCAACTCACACCGACACAACCTCGATGGGTAAACAGCTCGACAGGTAAAAGGAAAAACATGTATTTTTGATTTTGGGGTGAGCTGTCCCTTTAAATTAGAGAAACGTCCTCATTCGCAAACTCCAACTGAAACAACATGAATACTTCATGTTTCTAAATCAACGGCTCCGCAGGAAGTTTGAGCCAGAATCAAATGTAAAAGATCACATTTAGCCTGAAGAAGAAAGACCATTTTCATACCTGCGTATTCCTGCTCAGAGCCACAGGGAGCGCCCTGCATCATTCAGACTCGGATCAAGTGCATTTAGCAGTAAAAAGGAGACCAGCATCTGTCACATGCTCTAAATTCTGAGCCCTTAAATCATAGAAAAAATGAGGTAAGACCAGCAAATAAGACATTCAATCTGCATTCTTAATAAATTAAAGCGCTCAGTGACGTTGGGAGTATCAGCTCAGACTGTGTGTGTGGTGTCTGAAGTGCTCACGACCCACCTAAAACCTCAAAACTCCTGGATGACCCTGAAGTGGTTCTCGATGGAGGGCGGCTCGTCCTCAAAGTGCAGCTCCTTACTCGGACAGGCCCCGAACTCCTCCAGGGTCTTAATGAAGTGTCCGTACTCGCGGCCCACCCAGGCCCGCATCGGGTCACACACCTCGTACGGGGTCACGTGGGCGTGAATCGACACTCCGCTGGAAGCAAGTCCCTTCAGCACCTGCTTGTCCGTCACCCAGGTCTCACTGCCTCCCGGGTGCCCGCCGTCCAGCCAGTACAAGTCCGAGATGCATCTGACGAAGTGAGACAGCTGCGGGTCTGCGCGGGCCCCGGCCAGCTCGTACACCATCTGGTTCAGGACCACGCAGCCTTTGCTGAAGCCCACCAGCGTGAGGGAAAACCCTGAGGGGATGCCGTCAGCGCCTCCCTGTGTCTGCAGAGGGTTTGGCAGGTTGGCTCGCTCCATGCCGTGGCTCAGCAGCGCCCTGCGATCACAGATGTTGTTCAGACTGTAACACTGACAGCACCATCACCATGCAGTAAGGCCTCGTTTGGTAAAGCTCGTAATGTTGAGGTGATGATAGCAGATGAAGGTAAGAGTGTATTTGTGACCTCTGTTTTCTATTGGCAGTGCAGCTTTCCTGTGTTCGGTGCTTAAATACGTATTCTTTATACGTAACAATTTCCCAAAATAACTTGACATATTAAATTAAAAGCTTATGTCAGAGTTTCATTTAAAGCCTGTTTCTGCTGCCCCCAAGTGGCCAAACACAGCTTTGTTGCTATATTTTGGATAATCGGATCAAACAAAGTGGTGCTATATTCAACAATCCCCATAAGAGGTCACATCGAGACACAAATCTGACAAATTTTTTGGAATACATATTTCCTGAAGGAGCAAGAAAAAGGGACAGGATGTTCTTTCTTATATTCTACGAGTCTGAAGACACACTGAGGATGAATAAAGTTCCCTTTACATAATATGTGACCTTAAAAAGCAAAAACAAACCTGAGGTGGCAAAACGCTCCGTAGTCAGGTGAGTACGGCGAGTGCTCCGGAGCCCCGAACATGTTGCTCTCCACGAAGTTGTGGTAGCAGCTGAACTTGTGGAGATACATCCGGGAGGCTCTGACCACCCAGACGTGGCGGTCGGGGAAACGGCGGCCCAGCGTGAGGGCGACCTGCTCCAGGCTCCAGGAGAGCCACTGGGATCCCTCAGGCTGCACGGCCATCTCCTCCTCGAAGTTCTGCACACACAGATTCAGTGTAACTAAATACATTTTCTCAAGTACTGGAGTACAAGTTTGAGGCAATTGTAATAGGTTATCACTTATGATGAGTAACCAATCAGACAGCAGGACACTGAGCGATAGAAAGATAGAAAAATATCTGTATCTATTTTGTGTTTAACCCCTTTAATGTTGGATTGTACGATGTTCTGGTTGTATGTATTTAGTCAGATTGTATGCGTGTATATGTGTTCTTTATACTAGATTTTTAAAAGAGATTGCCGTATATATGGCAGTATATTGAATTGTAACCCCTGTATCGTGATACAGCCCTACTGAGCGAGACTTTTAGTGCATTTTAAACTTAATTTATTTAATGGACAATCACATAAAAAACTGATTCCAAAGTGCTGAATATTGGATCTGATTATCTGATAAAAAGTTCGATATAAAAGTGCAATGTGACCAGCTAACAGAGAAAAAGAGAGAGATTGTTTAGTACAACGTTTACACACTGAAAAACATGATACACACTCATTATCGCTCACATCTGTCTGTGTCGAAGAGTGTGTGAACTCTCCCTAAGACCCACCGTTTGCCTACAATTAGCTTTTTTGGAGTACAAACACCTTTACAAGATGAAGTGCTGCAGCATTAACCTATCCAGCTATGTAGGAGAGGGGGTTGCTGGGTCTTTAAATGTTTAGAATTTAAAAAGGATAAAAGCTAAAACCAAAACCAGTCAAAGATGTTTCCCTGACAGACGTTGGCTTCGATCTGTGAGCCGAACACAAAATGTTCCCTTCCGTATATCCGGTCCTGGTAACAGCCACGGTGGGAGTCGGCCCATAAACCTCACAGACATCAGTCCATCTTCGTCACAGTTGCATCAGCAGCGTCTCCTCAGCGTGCTGTCGGACTGTGTGGTCCTGGACACAACCGCCTCATTCATGTTATTTACACGGAGACGTCACCGTGACAGCATCCCGCGCATACGAACGTCTCCCGGCGAATACCGGCACACTGTGGGAATATCAACACTTGCCTGGAAAGTCGCCTAATGAATTGCAAATGAGGAAGAATGAATGGATGAATGCAGGATCGTAGCCACAGAGACGCTCCAATAAACAGTTAGAAAGGGAAACAAATGGGTGATGTTTAATCTTCTTTTACTCCTCCATATTTTTTTTTACTCCTCCATAACTAAATGCCTCTTCCGCTTACTGAGAGAAAGAAACAAAAAGCCTCGGAGACAGCTTTGCATAATCTGACAGCGTAATCTGGCAACTGCAGCAATTAAGAGGTTTGGCTCAGGCTGGAGAGACGCCACCACGTCTGTATTCTCTTCCACATGTTCAGAAACACTCCTCCACACAAAGAGCAGACCTAAAGCAGACTTAAATAGCTCTCAGATGACGATTTAAGGACAAAATCTGTACATTTTGGACACTTGCTGCATTGTTTGTTTTTTTATTCCCCTCACACGTTCTACCTGGTTTCTAACCAAAGTCAGATATGGAAAAGTATGATGCCCGCTTCAGTTTTAACTGTATGTTTACTCCAGTTTGTTTTCTTTTATTAAGAATATTTTAGGGCTGGAGTGAATAAGGTATAAACACACTGCGATTGCAATATGGTTCACGATTAGTGTGGGAAAGATCATCACAAATGTAATTTTCACCGAGATAAATATTTAACTCATGATGACGTGAAGTTTTTTTTGAGCGTCTCTACCAAACAAACATGTTTTGTATTCAATCTGGAGATCACGTATAAAGGCCAGAGCATCTGGAGAGATCAGTACTACATTTTAATTTGATCAAAGAACTGCAGCTTCTGTAATTTGCACATAATTGCACTTGGCCATATTGTGATTTCAATCATATTTTGATGAACTGTGCAGCCCGAGAGTGTTTCCACGGTACAATCTGATTCTATTTCTATAAAAAACACAATATAGAAGAAGTCATTTACAACATTGCACATCCAAGCTGCAAGTACCAGACTTCAGGAGTTTTCAATCCACGGTTTCATGTCGTTACGAAACAGAAATCATTCCTGTTGTCTTTATTTTAAAAGCCTTTTCGATTGCTGTGCATAATAGCAATGCTTCATTACAGCGTGTTATTGTGACCAACTCAGATAACCATGTTCAATATTATCAAATCACCCTGTGCTTCCTAAAGAAAGTGGATCCACTCACAGCTGAAAGGTGGCATACAGACCCAAACAGAAAGGGCACGGTATCTCTGCAGCGCGGCCTCCGTTCACCATCCGCTCTTCCACAGGTAGAGAAGTATTTGTTGTACCTGACTGCAGTAAATACAGCCGGATACTCTTCTGCTAGGTGCTCCTTTCAGTTAAAATGTGTGACCTACACTGAGCTCCTGAAGGTCCATACAGTATAAATAAACTTAACTTGATATCAATGCAGATAAGGGCAGCCAAGTGTGACAGCGGGGGGTCAAATATCTGCCATCAGACCCTCTCTCACTGATTCCTGACCCCTGGGTGACTTCTGGGTTGCAGGTTTGTGTAAAACTACTACTATTACCATCACTATCTGGTTGTTTACACCCCCCCCGGTACAAATATGTGTATGTTTATATAAATAACTGTATATAATGGTTTATTTTATTAGTTTTCTATGTGTGTAGCATGAAGGAACTTCAAACTGTTATCTTTACACACAACCCTGTGTTGTACAATCATAAATAAATGTCCTTGAGTCCTTAAAGTGGGCTGCTCAGTGTATAAAATAACATGCAGGTGATTCCTTTGGTTTACTGGGTTGGTTTTATGAAGCAGTAAAGCAAAGATTACCTCTCCTGGCACCCATGAGGTGTCACATGCTGTGTGCAAGCTTTAAAATAAAAAATAAAAAATACAGACATCTGCAAAATACATGACAATAATCCCCAAACAGGGGAAATAAACAGAGACACAAACTGTATATTAAATGAGTTTAAACCCACAAGCACCAACTCAGCAGAGCTACTGAGTGAACTGCCTCAGGAACAACTTGCAGTGATTAATTAATTAATTAATTAATTAATTATCATCTCCCTGTTCGATCACCTGAGACCCTGATCAATACAACCCCCCCCAACACACACACACACACACACACACTCACCTGAATATCCCCGTGGAAGAACACAACATGCCGGTTGTTGCTGCTCTCCTTCGGCTGTGTGGCGGTCAGGTGGTCGGTGTCGGCCCGGAGGAGCAGCAGGTCGTTCACTCGGTTCGGGTTGTAACCGGGAACCGCCCGCAGCTTCTGGAGCCTCTGCCGCGGGCTCCCGGTGCGTGCATCCCGGCCGGCGGATGCCTGCAGCCCCCGGGGTTCCGAGGATGTCGTCGCTGCCACAGAGGTCATCGTTTGGGCCACAGTTATCAGAGAGAAGCCCACCGCGACCGCTCGGGCGGATAGCATGGACTCTAAAATAAGAAAATGATTTGGCGTTTTTTTTCCTCTTTCAACGCAGTCAGCTACCGTTAGCTGCCTCTGTTAGCAACACAGTATGCTAACGTCAAAACAAAGCGGCTTTATGAGGCTCTAACCGACATTATTTATTATTGGACATTATGTTCTGTTTGTTGTTTCTCTCGCGTCGTCGCAGTTTCAGAAGAAACTCTTAATTATGTGTTTATTTCGGACAGTTTGAGGCTGTTTCTGTCCACGAAGAGGCGCTGTTTTATCAATAACACCAACCGTTAGTTAGCCGTTGGCGAGCACTTCTGCGCATGTCTGTTGTTTTTTCAGAGACGCTTCAGCGTTCAGGTGGCAAGATAATGCACTCCAATGTACTTCCGGTTTTGACCGGTCAGTCAATCGAGGGCTACGGAAAAAGAAGTATGAATAAAATAAGATATACAAATAAATTCAGAAAGAATTACATTATTTAATAAGTATGAGAAAAATGTAAACGCACATATTGCACTATGAATATAAAAATACTCTCTGCTCCATTATCTTACTGTCTGCATATGTTGTTGTTGTTGTTGTTGTTGTTGTTTATGTGTGTTATGATTATACAGATAAAACAAACGCAGGGACTAAATGTATGTTTTTCTTTATTCTAAAACGATATATACTACATTCTTGTGGCTATAGATGTGTAAAACCATCCATAAAACGCATTCATATATCTATACATACACACATCAATACATACATAAAAAGATAATAATTCACAATATATATACATACATACGACAGTCAAGAAGAGTTTTTGTGCAAAATAAGTTACAGGCTAAAAACAAAATTTTACCTCCTTCATAAAAGAAGACAAACGTTTCCGCTTGCAAACAGGAGTGAACCCTCTTGCAGTGAACTCTCATCTTTAACTACACACGTCTAAAGTCTACGTGCACGGATTGGCAGCAGCTGTACCGAAGTCAGTGTCATGTTGGTGTGTTTACCTGCAGAAACTCAGTGAATGTCCCTTTTCTCTCTCCGTGGTACGACAGCAGAGAACACACTGCACACCCCAGTGCTAAAAGAGCAAGTATGCTTTACAACAGACCGATGTTGGAGTTACTGTCACGTGTGTTTGACTTGCATGCCTCAGATCATCGCAGCTGGACTTTGAACATGTTCTGTAACTGCACTGATACAGAGCAACAGTACATGGCTCAGTCATTCCCACAGGCTGCACTTTATAAACTATTAAACAGTTGAATTATGTAACTGTCAGATGATAGAAGAAGACTCCTTTCATGCAGGTAATGTGGACTCTTAAACATACTGCAGCAGCTCTTATTTCCTGGAGATATTATCACGTCCTTTTGTTGTCATCATGGTAAACCTTGCAGCCTTGCAGACAACAATAAATGTTATTATTATTTATATATTATTGTTGAAATGAATCATAATCTGTAGTCTTCTGTTACTTCATTGTTCCTGTTGTAAAAGGCAGCTCCACCAACTCTCTGTAGATGGCATCATCATTACAGGCACCAGCTGTAGTTTATGGTAGCCATGCATTCAGTAAAGAGCTACTCCAACTATTGCCAAGTAGCCAAAATAATAGAAATATATGACAAACAAATATATTATAAACATATGCTTATGGTGTCTCATTTAAAAGGTACAGGTGCATCATCAGAGCAGGTAAAGCTGTCTGAGTGTATTTTATTGAACGCTTCTTTTTATGCACTTGAGTTAATAAATTGATGATCTCGGCTCCATTTCTGTCCAGATAAATGTGAGTTTGAGTGCAATGTCGTACATAACGGACTGCTCTTCAGCTGTGAGTCTGATCACTTTATATGTTTCAGATTATTGCTGTTGTAGAAACATGGCTTCGAGTTCTCTGGGCAGAAGACTGGTGGCTTGTCTTCTCAACGTTTCTGAGGCTCTCAGGAAAGACCTGGTGGAGACTGTGGCCAAGGCCGCATTATACGACACCGAAGGCAAGCGTATTTTTGTTTTTAATGAGTCTGGGGGATTATTAATACCACAAATGTTGTAATTTGATCAAATCTGTCTTGCTGAGAAAGAACTAAATAGTTTATTCTCAAGCTACAACCCAAAATAGAGGCTAAACCCAAAGATAAGATGGTTAAGTGTGTCTGTATGTGTCCAAATCACTTTCCCCACCTGTCCTCCATGATGCTTCTAAAAATGGTTTCCATTGGCAGTGAACTGAGACGACTCAAGCACCTTTATCTAAAATATATTAATCTATATTCCTTTTCTTAATCAGGGGTTAGACGAGAGGGGACCGCAGTGCTGAACATCTTTAACGACAGAGACTACAACCGTTCTGTGATCACCATTGTGGCCAGTATCGACTCCATCGGTGAGTACTGAACCTTTACGCTCGCAGTGAAATACTCTGCTGCTCCCCGAGGGAAGCGTAGAGTCAGCTATTTGCCTCTGCAGCAGGGATTCAGTCCCTGTCCCCTGCTCTCCAATCCTCTGAGAGGGGGAAAGAAATCCTTTAATAAGCTTTGTCAGGGATTTAAACACAAAAAAAAATTCAGGATGAACATTTTTTTGGCAAAGATCAGAGTGAAAAGTTTATCTCATTGAATGCTTATCCCGAACACAACCTTGTGACAATGCGGACAAAGCTGTCGAGGTTTACAGTTTGTATGTCCTACACTCTCTCCGAAAGACAAATGAATCGGCTTAATTTGCCCCCCAAAAATCTCTTTATTTTTATCGTATTAAATTCCGTTTCCTGCAGACTTGGATCAGGTTGAATAAACCTTTGAATGCATACATTTTTTTGTTGTATATTCCAGGGGAGGCGGTTCTGTCTGCCTGCGAGAAAGCCTGCAAGCTGATTGACATGCGCGCTCACATCGGGGTCCACCCGTGCATGGGCGCCGTCGACCTAATACCCATCTACCCCCTGGGGGAGGAGGTGGGAGCAGAGGATTGTGCTAAAGAGGCTCAGGGTGAGTGTGTGTGTGTGTGTGTGTGTGTGTGTGTGTGTGTGTGTGTGTGTAGTGCACTCAGAAATATGCCCCCGTCGGTTGAGCTGATCACATTGACAGTATATTGTATCTGTTCATTAGCTTTCAGGGCACATTTCTGCTTCTCTTGTTTTGTATTCTGTGCAGCACCGGCTGGGACAGAGATGAGCATTTTGACTCTCCTCAGTGGCTCAAAAAAAAACATTAACATCCAGTTTGTGCACACAGGGATGGAAAATGAATGTGACTTGACATTGCAATTTTTCCCTCGCAGCAGGCAATTTAAATATAACCCCTGTATATGTTTTAGCTTCCATGTGTAGTATAAGATACCACAGTAATTTAGAAAGTGTCAAAACTGTAAATATACTGTGATGAGCTCATCCGTAGTGCCTATAGCAGATGTTCTCAACCTTAGTAGTTCAGGTTTTTTGAAGAGGTGGTACTTACTACTACTCAGTTTTAAGAAGCAGACGAATGTACCAGCACAGAAGCAGAGCAGTGTACTGCTGTGGGCGGCAACAAAACCGTATTTTATCCACCTAAAGAAAGGCTGTTGTATCCATCTGTGCTCTCTCCAAAGCTACCAGACTAAACCAGATGTAAATGCAATTGAGTTTCCCATTGGAAAAAGCTGTCTGACTGCAAGGTAAAGCAGTGAAAATCCACTAAATGTAGAATATACTCCTGAACTGATATTGATTTGCTTTAGCTGGGCCTTTTTCTTTAGGTGGCTAAAATACCACAGCAGCACATTGTTCACTGCCCATATTTGGGGCCTGATCATTGACACTAAATAGTTATTGGACAGAGCTTTCAGGTCTGTGAAGTGTCTTAAACCTGCATACTATGTAATGGCCAGCAGGGGGCAGCTCCATGGGCAAAAAGTGTCAGATAGTATGGAGTCTTATGGAGAAATAAGCCGACTTCTCACTTGATTTATGAGCTCAGTAAAAGGTTTCCTAATGATTTTATGGTCTCAATCTCTAGTTTTACATCTTCTTCCATACAGCATGGTGTTCATTTAGTAAATTATGGTCCCATTTAGAGTAAAACAGACCATAAAGCAGGGTACGCTTTAGGGCGTGGTGTCATTGTCGGTGAGTCCGTCCAGCTCAATGCACCAAACTGAGAAAACTTTTAAAATAGGCCGTAATGCCAAACTTGAAGCTTCAAAATGGTACTCCTCAGTCTATACCCCCATTTAAAAAGACCTGAACTATACAAAAAAAACTACAAAAAAATGACAACACATACAGAACACATTCAACACACTGCCATAATGAATACAATTTAAAACATTCAGAGTCAGATTTGTTCACTGCATGCTTTGGAGCTTTTACTGGCACAGGGTTGTCTCTGAGTGTAAAAAAAAAACACGTCATGTGTCGTGATTGGTGAGGTGATATTCAAACATTACTAGTCATTTTAATTTGACACTTTTAATGTATGTGAATTCTTGAGCACATTTGCATATAGAAATAACTAGCTCTGTGTCTAGGGCTGATGATGTGATATCTTGTTCAGCTTCCTGTGCTGTTGATTACTTTCACAGTTTACCGACTTGGCTGCCACGTGTCTTGCTCATAATGAGCAGTAGCTCAGCGTGTGTCTGTGTGCGCTCTGTATGCTAATCTCTGTGGTGTGATTGCAGAATATTAATTGGCAAACTCACTAACAAGAGCTGTATTTATGCATGCGTGTAATAAGTGATCCATGTGTCCATATTTTGCTTCCGTCTGAGTTACACCCCCTGAGGTGTGTTTTGTCTGTCACGCTCCCGTTGTTCTCGTGTTTTATGAAACTGTGTGCATGTGATGACGCGAGCTCAGTTTGTTGGTTAACTAACACGTCTGTGTTCCTGCTGGGGCTCAGCTGTGGCTCGGGGACTCACAGAGCGGGTCCAGGGCACCAGTGCCTTCCTGTTTGGCTGGGCAGACTCCCCCCTTCAGCGGGGGCTGGCACAGAGGAGGAAGGAGATGGGCTGGTTCAAGAAGACACCAGACTTGCAGGCGATCAGGCCCGACGTGGGGCCGCAGCCACAGAAACAGTTCGGCCTCACAGGTGAGCCAGAGCTGACGGGGAGTGTATGCTTGAATTGATATGCCAGACGTGTTTCTGTAGGTTCATGTTTGCTTTTTTTAGCAGGATTATACAACGCAGGTGACTTTGTCTCTGTACGAAACTATATTTGTTACAGCTCAACCACAGGCCATCTCTCTCCTCTCCTATGACCTTTAAAAAAAAAACAGCCACACTGAAACATTTAAAGTGCTGCACCTCTGAATGATCCCATGACTGATGAGATCCTTACCTAGCCACATTACGTGCTCTGTGTATCCCAAGTGATGTCTGATACTGTGCTTCCCAACCTTTTTCCTCAAGGGACCCATTTTCTATCATTTGTTAAACTGACGACCCCTCGCTTAAGTGACATATTTTATGGATATTAAATGTTATATTCAAAACTGTACAACAAACCCAAACAGTGATCTCAGTAACAGCAGGAAGTTTGTGTAAAACGAGTGATTTGGATGAATTTTGAGCAGATTTTTTACGCATGCATTTGTTTTAACAATCATACAGACTTAATAGGCTTCTTTTTTGACAAAGTCAGTGTTTTCTTCCCTGAAGCTTTGCCAATTCGGACAATTTACTGTATAACGTAATAATAGCCCGGACGTTTATTTGCTTAAATCACTGAACTCACACTGTCTTTATTGGGGACAGGAGTTTCATTCCTTTAGCACAAAACCCTCACTCCACAAAGATGGGGAATACTATCTAATTCTGCTGCTTCTCCTGAGTTTTGTTCTGCAAATTTGACAACTGAAAGCTTGAATTTCAGGTTGTTTTTCAGCAATTTCAACATTTTAATTTCAACATAATAAATAAAACTCACATTTTACGGTACTTTACATTTACTTTTCTTGAAAGAAGTCAACTGAATGCTGAGATATAGTCCTACTGTGTATATTTTTAAAGTTTTGTAGCACGGCTTAAAATCAAGAAGGTCTCGGGAACCACTAGTCTGACTAGTTAGCTGCATTATGACGCAGTAGCAGTAAAGGTGACAATATTTCATGACAAATTATTACAATACGACTCCCCATCATGGCAGTGAGGCCTAAACTGTACACAGCCACACTCAAATACAGGAAACAAATTGTTAAAGTTGGTTATGCTAACAGGTTTGATAAATGAGATTAAATAAGATGAGCTTCTCATCTGAAGTTAATATGAGGCTGCAGCAGTCTAAGTCAGCCAAATCAAGAGTGTATCTTCTAATGTTAAGGCCTTTAAGTATTAAATTCCATCTTTGTGTCGCATTAACCTGTTTGGTGGGCAGAAGTTTGCTCTTGGTTCCCTGTTTTCTGTTCCCTCCCAATCAAATACACACAGCACGCTAACTTCATTATATTTTACTACTGGAAAACCACCTTCCAGCTTTTCTGTGTGTCCTTTAAGTTTGTTTTAACTCGATTTAACACAACTTGCATCCAGTAATGAAGGTGTTCAAATTAGATTTTAAGAAAGGGACACAATATTACATCTTAATGCAGGACCCACTTTATATTGTACTATTGTAGTGGAAATCCCCAGACAAATTTCACCGTAATCAAATCACCAAAAAGCAACTAACACACAGTGAAAGTGGGGCTTTCGGTTCCAGGAGGTGTGGAGCCCCGGGGCAGTTGCCTCCTTTATTGAACCTACTCTGTATGGAGAGTGCTTCCTTGCTGAGCTGCGGTGGAGGGATACACCCTCGAAGGTTTCAATTCAATTCAACAACTTTATTAATCCCACTGGGAGCAATTTGTTCGGAGCTTCTTCTGGTACACAAAGTACATACAAACAAACAAATGATACAAAGGAGCTCAGTGTGGAAGACTCTATAAATAATACTGATAAATAAACTTGCCTAGCACAATAAAAAGACCAGATGAAGCATACACCGACAATTATTAAAAAACCTCCGAAGCATTTAGTAGTTGCATTTCAGAGGGAATGGACGATGTATTTCAGATTTCAGAGAATACAGATCTTGTTGTTTCACTCTACTGATCTGAGAACAGATTTTAACAAAACTGTTCAGACTTATTCAGACTTCTGAAATCTCATATTAGCTGCGACTGAACTTTTGTCCTCCAGTTTGTGCATATGGCTTGTGAATATTTAATCACGACAGACAGGAAATCCATTGTAGGAGTGGCAGAAATTCTAATTCCTTCACCAACTGGAGCATCGGTAGACTGTAATGCAATGGAGCAACAACACAGTGTATTTTCAGGCAAAGTTGAACATTTTTCTTTATCATTAAGGTCCTCATTCCTTCCTTGTATGGTGGTTTTCTGAAATAGCAGGAAGCTGAATGCTCCAAGTCTAATGCTCATTTCATGAACATAATCCAGCAGGAAAGCACTTACTGAAGGAAGAGTAGATGAGACAGGTTAAAGTCTCACAGAGACAATCAGTGACGGAGGATGTCTAACAGTTTGAAAGTGTTCTCCTAGTTCTGATTTGGCTGATTCTCCTGCAGGTGTTGGAGCCAGTGCATACGTCATGAACTGCAACGTCACTATCGACACCCAGGACATCGCCTTGGGACGCAGCATCGCCACAGCCATCAGGGAGTCGACCCCGGGGGGCCTGCCTGGGGTGCAGGTGCTGGCTTTGCCACACATGGGTGCCGTGGAAATCGCCTGTAATGTGGAAAGCGTGAAGGGGAGCCCACCTAGTCACACGGGTGCGGGTGAACCTTGGCCGGCTTTCAGCATCGGTGGCCAGCTGTACTGTCACGCTCCAGCTTCCCTCATCACGGCGAGGGTCGCAGAGCTGGCAGGGAGGCAGGGGGTCGGCACGAAGGCCACCGCGCTGGTGGGGTTCACCCCCCGTGAGTGCAGGGGCCTGGCAGAGTTAGCACTGTCTCAAGGGATTGCTGAGTTCTGGAAGGAGCAGCGTAGGATCCGTATGTGAGAACGAATTCTTGCCAAAACCAGTGAAACCTCAAGCAAAAGTACATCATGTGACTTTAATTACCCTGAGAATTGTCTGTTTATTAAACCCTGCCCCCCTCTGTTACCACTGTCAGATCCTTTACTTAAAGCAGATACAAGGAATTTTCTGTTTGTGATGATTCTGGCGACACTTTGGGGCCAAAGTGGTGTTTCTACCGCCATGTTTCATTGATTTCAATTGATTTCCATGACAGGCATTAAGAATAACTATATAGAAATAGTAAATGTTCTCACTGATGGTTTCTTTATGTAGGTCACGTAGAGGCATCAGTATGAAATGAAGACTGTTTCATAACCACTTAACTCCTTTGGTATGATTAAGTAAAAGTATTAATACCACACTCTGAAAAGACTCGACTACAAGTAAAAGTCCTGCATCAAGTATTAGCAACAAAACTGACCTAAATGATGAAAAGTAAAATAACAACGGCCCCTTCATGCTGGCTTTTGGATTAATATTACTGCTGCATTAATGTGTATGTTGCATTTTATTGCTGTAGTTGTTAAAGGTTGCCAAATGTTGCATGCTCAACAGTGAAAGAGCCAGGTAGAAGACTTGGACAGTATTCTGACACTAACATGGTGCTGTTTGGATATTTTAATACTGAAAAACACACCGGTTACATTCATGCCTTATTGTTTGCATATTCAGACAGTATTTTAGTTTAGATGTAGAGATAAAGAAGACAAATCACCATTAACGTTTGCACACATTGTTCAAACTAATTTACTCATACATTAACAGATTTACATTTTTTGATGAAAAGTTGTGTGTGATAACCTTTTACTACATTAAATAAATCATTGATCAATTCAATATTTTCATCCTGGTATTATTTTCATGTTAAACTGAAGCAAATATTTCCACACCCTCGATAACACACCTGTCTGCTCAGTGCCTTCCTTATCTGACACCTGCGGTAGAAGAGATTTAGGTTTTTATTTCAGAATGTCTTTTTCTGTACCCGACTAAAAGACCAAAACCATAAAACCTCAGCGTATCATCATCAAGAGTGGAAAAGTGTCTGTCATTTCCTGTTTGGAGCAAATGGGACACTTGTGTTTACTGATGAGTCTCTGCTGATGAGTCTTTTCCCATCATTTTCCACCATCAGCCTTACCATGCATGACTCTGTGGGAGAGTCACCATCTGTGTGTGAAACAGCTATTTTTACCGCAAGTCATGGACTGAATCTTCTAGAAACATCCAGCGCTTTGGCAGCGTTTCCTTTGACGTCCTACAGTGAAACAGCCCGGTTATAGTTGTTTACCATTTAAAGTAAAGTACATTTTCTTGTAAAAATCCATACACAGTGTAAGCTCATGATGCACAGGATTAACCATTTAATAACATGGAGACAAATTTGGCCAGAGGACAGGTCAGGAATTAACTGGGGCGAGATGATTCCACTCATTTCTTACATAAAGCCTGTATAAAGCACTGAATAGCAGCACATTCATGGAGTAAGGACGTATGGATTTTAGTCATTAGGTTATAATAACTTGGGCTATATGGATGTGGCACAAAGGCAGGGTCAGACTAAGTTTCTGAAGCCAAAACATTTTTTTTTAATTTGAAGCCATAAGTAAAGGAAATTAGTGATTTCAGAGCAGATAACTAATCTACATACAGAGAGCGGTTGCCAATCTGTTAAGCTTTCCGCCCAAACCGAGGTGGTATGATTCACAGATTCTTCCAGTGAGATTGCTTTCAGGGTCTGAATTTACTCTCCTTTCATTATGTTGTGTAATTTTTCATTTTCCTGCATCTCAACTTATGTAAGGTTGCCCTTTGAGGCAGAAGCTGTGCAATTTTCATCAATGTGTGCGCACTTCTTTGGATAAGCTCTCTTACTGCGTTAACATTCACCTCTTTGTATGCCATCCAGCTGAGGCTCTTAGTCACACAAGCAACGCAGCCATGCAGCTTCATTTCATGCGTATACACAACTCTCTCCCCCCCATTTTCACACACACACATCCTTTCCTCTCTCCTCCCTGCTGTCTTCCTCTCTTTTCTGCATCTAGACACACATGCATTTACTCTATAGATGGCACACACACACACACACACACACACTCTCTTAGCCTGCCAGGCTTGGGAGCATCAAGGCCTAATCTAGGTCACAGCATAAGCCCAGAGGTATCCTGTTCTCCACACACACACACACACACACACACACACACACACACACACACACACACACACACGCACGCACGCATGTTTTTGATGCATATAAGATCTATTTTGACTCGACTAATTTTCCCTCAGCTAACAGTAAAAAGCGTTTGATTTTCACTTTGACAACAGACACGTCTCACATCCCAGAATAAGGAAGCCTATAAATAAAACCAGTGAATTTCATATTTTTCCAAAAATCCCCTCCCCATCTTCATCTCCTTCCTCTCCCTTCCTGAATAATTGGTTATGTGAGTCAGTCTAATGGCCCTTATGATTGTCACAAGGCCATCATTTCCTTGATTAAGTGCACTTTGGGATCTTTCTACAGCAGAATCAACATCCATTTAGGAGGCACTTCCCCACCGAAGCCTAAACTGAATCTATTTTGTGTGTGTGTGTGTGTGTGTGTGTGTGTGTGTGTGTGTGAGATCTGCTTAAATAAAGACATGGATGCTCCTGCATGCTGCTGCAGAAGCACCATAGCATCCCTTTGATATGACTTAGCCTGACAGCGTACCATCCGAGATGCGACCGTGTGTCACAGCACAGAAATAGAGGAGCTTATTTCTTTACATCCGTCTCCAGCTTTCTATAAATATTCCAAAGCTCTCTGTTCTCTCTCTTCCTCTTTCTTGCTGATTTCTCTGTTCTCCCCCTCCCTCCCTCCCTCTTCCTTTCTCCCCCTCTCTATTTGTCCATTTTTTCCCCCCCACACACTCTCTGCCTCCCACATCTTCCCTTTTCCCTCTGCTACCGTCGTATAATGTGGAGAAATGTGTCTCTTGTCTAGAAAGAGGCAGTTAAGCGAGAACAAAAACCCTCATGTGCTGCATATTATTTCTGAGGCTGTAAGGTTTGGATTTCCTCCCCTCCGACAGTCCTGCAGGAATATTTAGTAACCTGACAGTGATTTTATCAAACCACACATAGAAATCACTTCCTTCCTTCTCTATCACACAGATTTCCACCAATGGAGTACAGTGCGACAACCATTAATCTCCTCTAGCTCAGACGTTTGATTCAAAAATAGGAACATTGACAAGAAAAAGAGGCCAAGCTGACTGTGTCCAAAGCAACTGCCAGTTAGACGCTGCTGTGGCTATCCACACAGTGCCATCCTCCCTAACCTATCAGTGTGGGAAGTAAGCGTGCCACCTATGAAGTCAGCAGTCCCCAACCCCCACCCTGAACACATGTTTAACATCCTCTGGGCACAGGCTGAGCAGAGCACTGAGACACAGCTGAGAATTAGAGAGAGAGAGAGAGAGAGAGAGAGGGAGAGAGGTAGAGAGAGAGTGAGCGGTGAAGTGGAAATATGGGTGAGCATCAGAGAAAGACAGAAATAGAGCGATAAAGCAGTGAATTAGGCAGCGGCAGAGAGAGGAGGAGGAGGAGGAGGAGGGACACAGAGAGTCTTTCACTGAGGCGCTGATGCTTCATGCAGACATTGTTATTTTCCCGTAGCAGAAGAGCTCTCGTCGTGTGTGGATGTGAGGACCTCGTGGATTTGCTGCTTTGCTGAGACTCAGAGGAATTCATTGCATCTGGATCCAAGACGGCTGCAGACAGGAGGATGCGACTGTGGCTGGATGCTAGGATCCATGTGGGCCTGTGACGTCTGCACTCCCCTCAGTGGCTACCTTCTTCCCCATAAGGATGCCTCCAGCAGCACTGACCCAGATTGTGGAGTCCTGGCTCTTAGCTGTGCACTGCTCCTCGGGTGGTCTGTGAATGTGATGCGGACGAGGCATGCTCTACACCTCGGCGGAGACCGCTCAGCCCGCTGCCTCTGCTGACATCTGCCTCCGTGGATACACACAACAACTGGCAGGGTAAGGATGCGCTGCTCTGACCTGCACGCTCTAATGTCAGGCTGATGGGTATTGTGTGTGTGCACGTGTCTGTGTGTTGTATGAATACAAATCACTACAGCCATGTAGATCTCATTTTTATTCCTCACACATGTGCTTGCTCCTCCTTGGGTGCACCAATACTTCCTTCCAGAGGCTTTAAATGGGACCATGCTGTGGCTGTGATGATGAACTGTGTATGCATGCACTATGCAGAATAGCTCCATGTATAATGTATGACCTAGGAGATATCATGGTGAGCAACAAGTAACTGCGTTTCCCCTAAAGTGCAGAGGAAAGTAGGCTAGGATGGCACAGACAGAGAAGACCCGAATAAATAATTTATTAAAGTCCTTTAGGTTTCTGAAAGCATCCATTCTGCCTCCAGGAAAAAAAAATGGACATTAGGATAATCACATTGGGAGAGATAAAGCAATTTTATTCAGCTGAATTCCATCTGAACCAGTCTAATGAAGACAACCCAGTCAGACCCTCCACCCCCTCAGTCTGGTCAGTGCAGTTCAGCTCAGGTCAGTTTAACTTGACGTACATAAAGTCACTAAGACACATCACACATCAGCACTTCTACCACGAGACAAAGGAGTGGGGGTCATTTGATCAGAGGTCAGACACTTTGCTCTGAGGTCATACAAAGGTCAATCGGTTTGCAAAGTCACTGTCAATACTTACACACTCGTCTTGTGATGGCGTAGGATGCTGACTTCAGGCCTTACACTTACAATTCTACTTTTCACAACTCTGCATTTTTTCCTTTGGATGTTGGATGCTGATTTAGTAGCTTGAGAAATACTTTTTTAATTCCAGTGGGTATTTTAAACTGAATTAAGGTTTGTTTTGTACTTTTGTCACAGTGGACTGAAATCTGCTGAATCGAAACTTGACCTCTGTGTATTGCTCAGGATCTTTTCAGTATTTTGCTGCCTATTAGGTTCAAACTTTTGGCTGAGTCATGCTTGAAAATAACCCGTTCCTACATCTGGAATTAAGTTTATAGTTGTTCTGAACTGCTTTGTTCGAAGATGGAGTCATAGAGAGGGGGGGAGTCACAACGTCGTTTAAATATGGGGATAACGGCGCACATTTTCAGACACTCTCTCCTGGAAGTCATTCATTCATAGTGTTGCACTTGTTCACATGCAAAGTGACAGAAATAGCTGTGTCAAGAAAGAAAGTTCAAACCCTGGCTCCGTTCACACCTCTGGACAGCTGGCCGATCGGTGTGTGGAGTGATCTGTCAAGAAGTTCTAAAGAAGCATACTGGCAGCTCTGTGATGTGACGTTGGTTAGTCAGCTCACTCTGCTGTAGTTTCAAGACCTAAATCGTATCACATATTGACTTCACAGATACTTAACATACTTATATACGTAACATTTTTTAGGTTTGCTGTTCTAAAAGGCATTTAACAGCTTAGTAAGATACTCATATCTGATAAAAATGGCACATACATACATGTATCTTCATGCCAAGTGACTGAACACTGGAGACCAAATACTACCATCAGTAATCTGCACATATCATCTCAATGATACCACCAGTGCCACTTAAATTTTATTGCAGCTCTTTAAAGGCCAACAGACACTTAAATCTAAAGCTTGTCTGGATTATTCAGTTGTGTGCATTTAAATTTGCCTTCCCTAGTCATGTTATATCACACAAAACTCAACAACAAATCGTCCTGTAGTTACAGTAAATTCTGTATTTAATCATTACAATGGGGACTAATAGTTTGGTTGAGTTGGTGCAGTGCTAATGACAGTAGTAGTAACAGCAGGGGTTGCAGTGGTCACCACTGTAACAGACGGTTCATGGTGCTCAGTGATGGAATAAGTATTCAGACCCTTTACTTAAAGGTCCAGTGTGTCACATTTAGAAGGATCTACTGGCAGAAAAGGAATCTAACATTCATAGGTATGTTTTCATTAGTGTTTAATCACCTGAGAATAAGAATTATTGTGTGTTTGTTACCTTAGAATGAGCTGTTTATATGTACACCTTCCAAGGAGTCCACCATGTTTCTACGATAGCCCAAAATAGACAAACCAAACACTACAGCGGCCCCCGCAGTTTCTCCTACACATTTGGAGGGGTGTGAAGCTGAAATCTCACGACTAACGCCACTCAACTATTGTACTATTATATCTGATGTTATTGGATTAATAGTATGCTGCATTAATGTGCTATGCTGCATTTTACTGCTGTAGATGTTTAAAGTTGAGCTCATTTTAACTACTTTATATACTGCTGGGTACTTTAATCTACAGCAATGCATCATATTCTATAAGATCATCGTATGCTTGTAGCGTCGCTGTCCTGTGAGAACCACATATCTCTAAAAATGCAACTTTTCATGAGCTCAGAAAAACTGCCCTGTTTTCAGCTTTGTGACGATGCATTTTCCAGCTAATCCAAGAGGGTTTTTAAATAATTTATTTATCTCAAGAAGAAGGCAAATCTTCTCAACCCATAAAGGAAACACTTCATCCTTCAGTTTATCAGAAACATTCAAAATCAGCACATCTGCAGATAAATGATTTTCACTGGACACTGACTTGTAAGTAAAGCTGTCAGACAAATGCAGTGGAGTGTAAAGTTGCTTAAAATGGTACTTAAATAAAGTCCTCCCACCCCTCATGGTGCTATAGCTCTACAGCAGAAAGAGTTAATGGGAGAAGTGGCTCAACAGAGCTGAGGCAGATGTGACAGCTGTGAATAAGAGTGAATAAAGAAAAGTGAACAACTAGGCCCTGTCCCTTATGGCGGAAAAATTACCAAACAGGATCTGATCCGTCACATTATTGCAGTTGCTCCACTGACGCGACACTCAGTCTGAAAAATAAGGGTTTGTTAATTATCATATTAATGCCACTGCGAGAGCTACTCCATCCAATCTCACTTATCTCCTCAGCATACCATGGCACTTAGGAATCGATTGCCTCATTCAAGGGGAGAAACCATCTGAAAAGTATTATAGCAGCAACATGGCTGACCTGACCTCGATGCAAGAAAAAAAAGGCCTTAAAACAGGAGTGGATTTACAGTAGCTCAGGGCAAGGGGATGACCATTGTCTGTTGCTGCATCTATTCCATGTATGGTGCATTGAAGCAGATAGTCTAATGCATTCGATTGGGAGACTGGATGACGGCATTGTGCAGCCGCATAAAAGGGGTCAGCGGTAGCCTAAAGGTTAAAGAAAAGCTTGGACAGGGAGGGCTATTGCCGGAGTCTCCATACTGGTCGGGGGTAAGAAGTGAGCAATGCTCTCCTTTCGAAGCATTGTAGCCTGCAGTAATCAATATTTTTGAAATGGAATCAAAGGCGACACTTGTAATTCTCAAGAAGCCTCTTTTAGCTCTTTGTTTTGGTCTTTAAAGGTCCAGTGTGTAGGATTTAGTGGCATCTAGCTGTGTTGTCGTTTCATCCTCCCCTTTCAAGCGCGAAGGAGAAACTAATGTGGTTTGTTCATTCTGGGCTACAGTAGAAACATGGCAACTAAACATGGCGGAGACCCGCAGTGTCTGTATATAACAGGCTCATTCTAAGGTAACAAAAACATAATGATTCCTATATTCAGCTGATTATACACTAATTGGCAATATCAATTTCTGCCAATAGATCCTCCCAAATGTCACACACTAGACCTTTAAGATATGCAAATTTACGGTATGGTCTGAGCCGATCCTGTCAATCATGCACTGTACGCTACCTGCACAACACCACATGGCAGACAAACTTAGTGACTAGCACGGGAAGAAAGTTGAGCATCTGTCAAGATAAAACACCAAGATATTGTCTTAAAAGTTGATGGAGACCAAACCAGAGCTAAAAGGACTGCCGGGTGGCCAGAGAAACTATTCCAAATGAATCTATTTTGCTCTGTGTCTGATTGATATGTAAATATTAAATTATTTGATAGCACATTAGCTATAACAACCTCATTAGTGATGTGTGTCTGTTTGTTTTAATGTTTTTCTGCTCCCAAGTGGCAAAATAAATGAATACAGACGATAACCATAATGTTTTTAAGTTGTGTTTTAACCAGATATGGTTGCACAAGTTGAAGCACATTTGCCAAGGGTTGGGATGTTGTCACAGTGGCAGACTCAGGCTGCCTGAGAGCAAGGATGAAAAAATGAAAAGCCCAGTGCACAGAAAGTTGTGATGCATTCATGGTGAAACAGTTCCAAAGCCTTTTTTTAGCATATCAGGCAGCGTATATGGCACTGCATTGCGTTTGGCATCCTAGATGGGTCTCTTGCACATTGGGACACCCTAGAGGGGTCTTGTTTTATCTAGCGCAGGGGCATCCAGGGGTTTGAGGCAAGGCAGAAGCTCAAACAACACAAGAAACAAAAGATAAAAACAACAAAAGCAAGTGGGCAAAAGCACATGTGATAAAAAACAACAAAATCAGACAGACCAACAATAAAAGAAACTAACACATGAATTTGATTAAAAAGATTACATCAATTAAAATTCTACTCCTGAAAAATGGTGATTCAATCTTACACCTATGTCTTTGACACTGCCACAGCCACCTAACAACAAGCAGCTGAGACGGTTTCACAAGTGTTACAACAGATGCTCCGCCATCTTTGTTACAGTCTGAACATGCTAATTAACATTATATGAATGCCTTTTTCACTGAAGTCATTTTGACAGTCACAGCAGCAAAAGCTCAGCTGTAAATAATCATATGAATGATGGTTGAATACCATTTAGCTGCCTCAGTTTCAGGGTCCTGCTGTCATGTTTGCTCACTGAGTTATTGATAATGTTACTGGTAATATCTGTGCTTTTATTGTGAAAAAATGACAGACACTAGCCAGACATACCACCATTGTTATTCCTAACATGTTAGCAAAAGTTGCCTATTTAAACATCCAGCAAACACGAACAGAAATGTAATTTATTTGGGGATGGATCTCTGGCTAGCTGGTCCTCTTAGCTCTGTTTTAGTTT